GAACGGGGGAGGGGCAGAGAGAGAGGGAGACACAGAATCGGAAACAGGCTCCAGGCTCTGAGCCGTCAGCCAGAGCCTGACGCGGGGCTCGAACTCACGGACCGCGAGATCGTGACCTGGCTGAAGTCGGACGCTTAACCGACTGCGCCACCCAGGCGCCCCTCTTTTGCTCCATTTTCCATTGACGGGGCGTCTTTCACGTTGTCTGGGGTCCTTTGCCATCTGTGGGGAGGCAGGCAGACGCAGGGCAAGCTGGCTGCCTGGCAGCCTTCACGTGGGGGTGGAAGAGCACCTCCCACCCTTTCCAACAATGGTTCTGTGAGAAACGCTTTAGGGAACAGGAGAGGGATTCACTGAGCGGAGGATATGGAGCAAAAGTCCAGGTTGGCTCTGCCTCCGAGCTGAGAACGGATACACTGTTGTCAGGAATTGATTTCTGTCACTTACATCCTCCATTCACCCTGGACCACCTTGATCGTCACCCACCTCGTTCTCCCCCCGTTATGCTGAGAAGAGAAATGTTATTTCTCTGCTTCCACACTTTATTCTTTAACGAATGATTATCTCCTTATTCTGCCCACTCACTACCTCTCTCCTCATTATTCTCAGCAGGTTCATCAAACATCAAAACCTGGCTGAATCTACCCCGAGAACACATTCTTTTCCTGGAGAGCATGGTTTCACTTGAACTGTTCTGCTTCTGCAGCAAACTTTGGGACACATTTCTTGTTTAAAACCACAGCCCTAAATTTAGCTCCAAGGCCAGGATCTGTCTCATCTCCCCAAGAAGGTCTTACTAATACGAATACTATAGTAATGATAATTTCCTGTGTATGTACATCAAGCCCAATACCCTGGGATTGTTTGTTATGAGCTGGCCCCTCCCTCTGTCCAGCCTGCATCTCCTGGTGTCCTTTCCTATAGCTAAGTGCTACCAAACCATACTTTCCCGCTTGAAGCTCTTCCTGATGCTATAATGCCTGCTCCTGTACCTCCCACCTGGAGTCTCTTAGCTCCAGGTCTATCTTTCCTGTGGTTGCACTGGACAATGAAAATTTGAATCATTCTCACAGTCCTGGTCAAGTTGTGCCCTCCTCCATAAATACTTACCTAAACTCCCACTAGTCCCTGTATTCATAGAGTTCTAACTTTTGGCCC